GGTCTATACCTTTTTAAGTTTTTGTTTCCAGTGCGCTGAAACAATGATCCGGATGGTCCCGGTTGTCCTGCGGGATTTGAGCTTTTGCGTATTGACGGTTCGTCGTCCTGATTCCCAGCTTGATCCACAGTAAGGCGTCGTGCATGAGTTCTGTTTTTACTGTCATAGTCGAGATCTGATCGTACACCCCAGTTTGTGTCGGCTGGATGGGGCTTATCTTGCACACTAGGATCGTCGTTATCTAAACAAGCATTTTTCGTTTTTAGTACCCGTGACCAATCCAGATTCTGCAACGATGGTTTTTTAGTAAGATTCCGTAAAACGGTGTTTGCTTCTCTACCATGATGAGCTTCAAAAGGCGAAATTCTAAGTGTTGAGTTTTTTGAGAATCTGAGAGCACCAAGGGCCCGTTCGACCATTTTCTCCAAGGGTTCAGGATTTTTTTCGTGAGCGAAAGTAAGGATTGAATTCTTAAGACTTCCAATAGTACGCTCGACACACCCGGTTGCCCGATGGTCGTTTACAGGTGATTTAATGATTTCAATGCCTTCCCCATTACAAAAAGCTTTGACCGCATTTGACATGAAATTAGTTCCCTGATCGATATGGATTTTCCGTGGCACCCCGTGGTTTGATATATAACTCTTCAAGAATTTCAATATTTTGTCCGAACGATTATTTCCACAGATCATTGCCGATGGCCAACGAGAGAACCGGTCGACCGCTACGAGCACATATTCCACGTTTACCCCTGCAGGTTCTTTCGAAATGGCCTATTTTATGGCAAAAATTGCATGTAACCCCTTTTGCTGGGCATCTGTCCAAATGTTCCCTGGTGAAGTTTTGCTGATCGCAATTATAACATTTGTTGTTATTTAGGGGATTTTTTCCTCGATATGATCCTCGGCCTTGGTAAGAGCCCCGGCCCCTTGAACGGTTGTTCCGGTAACCTCCCCGGATTATTCCAACTGGTTCCGATTTTATTTGGATTCCTCCCGATGATGATCCAGGGGTCCCCGCGGGTCCCATGGCAACGTATGAGGATGCATACTTGCTACCCCTTTCGTACGAGAGAGCTATCCGGTACACCTCCTCAGGTGTTTTTGTCGATCTGCAGAGTTCTTTTTGTGCATCCCGATTGTTCATATTAACGATGAATACGTCTCTTAATATTCGGTCCTCTAGTGCTCCAAAATTGCACCGCGCTGCCAATCCGCTCAGTACGGAATGGAATTGCTCAAGACTTTCATTTATAAACTGCTTACGAGAAAGGAGTTGGTACGTTTCATATGTTTCGTTCCTTTCTTTCTTGAATTCCGCTTCCAGCGCGTCTATCATCCGTGGGTACCGAATTGTCTGAAGGTCCAGGTGTGGTCGTCGTTTGTGCAGTTCATCCTGCCCCTTCTCCCCCAAACACAAGTACAGGTTCGAAATTAACACCATTTCCGATTCCCGCCGATTTTTTCCGTCTACTTCCGCGGGCAAGTCAGTAATTTGTGCGGCTGTGAGATTCGCGGCGAAGTAAAAATTCATTGGATTTAGCGAGTGTTTGGCGACCATTCCCCATTGGAATATGTTGATCCAGAATTCCCACATCATTGGCGGTTCCGTGCATTTTGCTGGCCAAAATCCCGTGATGCCCAGTGGATTCTTTCCCCCACCTAATCCTGCTGGCTGCGCCATGTCGAGAAGGTAAAACTGTCGTCGAGCAATTGTTAATTCCGAGATAATTATACAGTAACTTAATCTTGCAAAGTTAGCATCAAGAGTGGTTAGAAACAATATCCAAGGGTGACAGACAGATCCAAGGACAAACACCTGCTAATCAATTAGTCTAGCACCAATAGTGAACATTTGATTGACAGCTTTGGAAATGAACTAAATTACTCAATACGACAATGGGAAGATTACAAAAGGCTACCCGAAGAAGAACCAGATTTTCGCTTTATTCGGAAGATGTTGCTCGGAGCATACTCCGTTGTACACACTCCCAATTTGAAAGCGTTCAAAACCAACAAAAGAAGAAAGGCAAACTTCTCCGAATCGATGGATCCATGCTTCGTAGGCAGAAATGCTGCCGTGGTGCAGTACATGCAGTTTGCATATGTGGTTGAGTCGACGGGGAGAAGGATGAGCAACGCAGCCACTCCGAAACCTGGAAGACTTTAAGAAGATTGGGTCAAGTTGGACCTGGCGCCAACTTCCATGAGAAGCAAAGCAGACTTGCAAGAAGCTGCACTGATAGTAATGAATGTGAGGCCATAGTTGGCAATAACTGGCAAACTCCTGACTAGGACTGCTCTAGCGCCTTCGGTTGTGAAGAAATTGTGATAAAACCCAGAAAATGTAAAAACCGGTCAGCGGGTAAGCTAGTCGAGCCAATCGAAACAAAGAACAATGAGCAAGGACCTTCAGGGTCAGGGAAGAACGAGGAGCGAGACGATGAGGAGAAAGAAGACCATCAACCTGAAGAACTAATGGAGCAAGATACAGACCAAGTAAGAAGGGACGGCGATAAAGCCTTACTAGGTTGTGCGTCTTGGACGAAGATGAAGAAAGAACAGAAACGTTGGAAGGGACGACGGACCCAGCTGAAGGTAAAACTTTCTACGCTGGAGCCTCCCTCTGCCATTATGAAAGCAGCACTTAGGTTGCCGGAGAGCAGCACTCCTGGCAAGATTGAAATTACCACAGTTAAACTTTTAACGGAGTCTCCGCGCAGGAGGAAAAAAAGAATGTGCAGCCCGACTACCTATCTTGGGAACCCTGCCAGAATAATAGGGGGAAGTTCACCACGAAGATCATGGAAGAAGAACAGGATGTAGCATGGACAGAGTTTCTTTTATGGAGAAGGTCTGGACAGCAGTGCAGTTCTACGGGACCCAGTCGATACTGAAAACAGGTCTCAACAGACCTCTGATGCGTGAAAACCTTGGCACAAACTGGACGACTGCAAAGGGAGAATGAGTGAATTGCTAATTGATTCGGCCACTGAAGAAAGTGAATCAAACTCTCCGATCAAGATGACGCACAAAGAAAGCAACGAGGAAGTGATATACCTGTCCAGGATTCGAAAAGGAACAATGCGATCGAAGATGGTGATTGACTAAAGCAAGAACATGAAGATGAAGTTGGGCAGCAAAGTAAGGTTATGAAAATTTGGAAAGACAAAGGTGGATTCTGAACCTCCAACGAAAGCTGGCAACTCAGCTAACCGAAAAACGAGTTGAAGCGAGTTGAAATCAACGACAGGTTGCGTGGCACATCAAAAACGATTACCGATGTAACCATGGTGCCACCACATTTAAGGCAGGATTGAGATTAGCCAGTCATAAAACCAAGAGGAGTGACCCCACTCTTACTGGAGCCACGCTAGA